AAAAAGATAATTAAATAAGTGTTGCAGATGAATTGAATCGAGTTTTTGTATCTCTGCGACAAGCTTGCTGTCGTGACAATGGTCAACTTGGAACACCATGTCGTCTTAAAATGATGGAATTGGTGGAATTACGTGCAATGGGTTGGAGACCAAGTTTAGCACATACGCAATACTATCTTAATCGTCCTGAACAACAACAGCAACAACAACAACAACAGATTGGTATCGTTAATTAATCTATTTATTAATTAACCATATTATGTTTACTAGATTTATTCATTCATAATTTTCATGATATCTATTATATTATCAAGTATATGATAGGCATACGATCATGAACTGTTGGAGACCGTAGCCAATTAAGATAAAATAGTAAGAAATTTAAAAATAATTGCTTCATTAACGATTGCAATATAGAGTGATAGGAGAAAATGAAGATTTGTGATAAATAGTAACAAAAAAAGACAAGCGTGGTTGTATTAGTACAAATTTTACAGGTTGAATTCATCAGTTTTGTTTACATGTTTAATATTCTCATTAATTATTTTGCAGATCCGGCACCGATAAGTGCTCCACCGTTTGGTACAATTCCGGTGAATCCATTTGGTAATTTTGCTGGTCCTCCACCACCACTTTATGTTGGTGGTGATGTAAACAATCCAGTAATTGCTCCACAGCCTACACCAGCTAGTTTCTACCTAATACCAGCTGCTGCTGCTAGTTTGTTTTCTTTTTGTTGTACATGTTCCTTGATTTTTTATTTGAAATTTTTATTATATATATATAGTCATTGAAATTCATCCACCTTTTCACACTGTCAATAATTTAATAAGTGATCGAGTTAAGGAAAATTTATGAATTAATTACAATTTGTAGTATTTTAGAATGTAATTCAATTTGACTGCTTATTTGTTACTGATAATTCGAAATATCACCCAAGATAACAGGTAATAATGGACATTAGCTTAGGAAGAATAGAAAAGAAAAGAAAGAAAATTCGCATTTCAATTACCATTTCATGTTTAGGTGGATGGGCTCGACCAATAATAACTCCTGGAGTTGTACCATCTGGGAATATTTTGCCTCAGTTAACACCAATTGATGTAGAAGCCTGGGCTAAAGCTAACAAACAATTGCAACAGACGAAACTGAAAACGAAAACACCGCAAAGTCGTGTTCCACAGTTACGCGAGGAAATGATAATACGCAACAGTGATTCTGGCAAAAGTTAGTTTTATGCAAAGTTAAATTTTAACTTCATATCGACTTTGTTATAACTCTAAAAAAAAGCAAATATTTCTTTTTGCTGCTCTGTAAAATTCTTATTTCTTATTTTTGTTATTCATGTACTAAAAAGATCATCTGGTATTGATAAAATTTGAGCATTCTAAGCCACTGTTCGATAGAGATTGGCATAATTAAAATTGAACTCACATTTCGATTTAATTCAATTAATTTTTTATTCTTTTACTTTTAAAATACTTAACGGAAGAGTTGTCATTTAAACAAATAAAACTCGTACGAGTTCTGCAAGTTGAAGTATTTAATTAATCTTGCAGTAATGGGTGTAAAAGGTCGCCGTGTGGCAGTAGTGGAAGAGCTGAGTAAAACGGTAATATCGTTTCAAAAAGTTGATTCCAAATGCAAGGATCGCACATTGACAATAACTGGTAGTAATCAGGAATCGATTGATTATGCGAAACGTCTCATCGAGCAGACAATCCGCCGTAATGTTTCTCCCAATCGAGTAACAATTCATTTTTCATTTATTTCTTATTTTTTACAATCAAAAAACTTCCATTTATAGACTTTTTGAAAGTATTTGCAATGAAATTCATTTTTCTTTTGTCATTATAATTCAGAAAATAATTCCCACCTCTTTTTTCGCAATTTCATATCTTTCAATTTTGCTTAAATCAACAGAAATGATATTTTTTATTCACTTTACTTATTTCGAATTTTTTTCTGATCAAAAATATGCGAATTTCTAAATTCATTCGTTTCTTGTTTACTTAATCTGAATTATGCCTATAAATTAAATAAGCAAGAAATTTGAATTATGCCTATCATTTTATTTTTAGATTAATTCATTTGAAAAAATTCCAATGTCTTCTTAAAAAAATCATGCTGCACCAATTTTTTAATCATCACTTTCTTGTTAAGATAATGAGAGAAAATTCATTTTAGACTGAAACAAATGGTGTAGAAATTGATGACAACGATGATGATGGTGATGATGATGTTGGAATATCAATCGAAACGACGCAAGATGGCACTCTAAAATTGTCATGTGCCGATCCGCAAGTGCTTCAGGTTATTTTTTTTAATTAAAATTTTTAATAGGGATTGAAAGTGAGTTAATTCCATATTAGTATCTCTTTTTTTACCTTCACTTGTTATTACTTCAGGCAGCGCAAGCAGCTCTGAGTGAATATTTGACTAGAGTTGGCCGAAATCATTCGCGAATATCAGCCGAAGAACGTGAACAACGTAAAGAAAGAAGAAAGTCAATGCCGCTACAATCCTCATCGAATCGCCAAATTGCTAAGTTTGTTATTAGTTGAAATTATTTTTCATTTTATTGATAGATGAATAAGTGCAGAAACTGTCCGAATGTTTTAATGTTAAATAAGCTATTCTTTTTGCTTTATTCATTTGTAATTTCTATGGAATAAATCCTCAATTATCATAAATAATTCTAATAATCAGCAAGTTGATTTAAATTATCTTCATTTTTAAACTATCTCTTGTGAAATTGTTATCAGTCATAGGGAGGGGCTTAAAAAAAGGCTGCAAAATTTTCAAGATCGAATTTGCATATTTCCACATTTATTTTTTTGTAATCCTTCTCCAATATCTTTCATTTCTAGCTGTGATGTTTCACCAGTAAGTACCAATAATGTACAATGGCGTTCTTCTGGTAAAACAGGTAGCACTCCAAATTTGACTCAATTAAATAGCACCGCAGCTGGTAGCGGCATTGTGACAAAAATAAGTATAAGTAAACAGCGTTACGATCGAGCGCAGTTGTTGGAATTACGTTCATCTGTCGGATATTTGGATTCGAAAACGACAGCAATCATATATGAACTCGAAATTGAACGTACCCAACGTACTAATGAATCTTAAATATCTACAAAAATTTCTACAGTTTTGCGAGGAATTGCATTAAAAATAAAAATATTAATGATTGAGCAAAAAATACCAAATTGTTTTATGCCTTCTCTTTTTTTTTCACTTCACAATGTATTTATATGAGGTTATAAATTTCCTAAGTACATAATTCTTTTTTTTTTCTTATATTTTCAATTGAAATGGAATTTCCTAAAATAGTTTTGTTTGGTGCCGGCTTTTGACAAATTTATTTGCTATTTGCCAGCCTTCACTTATTTTCAAAATAATATTCACTGGATTGAAATGTATGTACATTATAGTAAGGTTAAAATTGGTGGAATATGATAAAATATTTTCATTTATAAAAAAAGCCAATAATCGATAAAGATGTTCGAAGATCAATCATTTTTGCATTTGGGAGATCATTCAGGTTTTAAATATTTTTCTTTTTATTACTGTGAAGTTTATTCCTGTTCTAAATCAATCTTCCTGCTTGTTTTAGCCGTAAAATTTCACTTGACTATTACAATATAGCTTATATCCATCAAATTTTTCATAAAATTTATTTAAGGAAATTAATACAATCAAATTGTTCTGGCTTTATAATTGAAATTATTAATCATAATATATAATTTGTTGCTTATCTTCAATATTTGTCCAGCTGTTTTTCAATTTTCCAAATAGCTCCTATTTTTTAACATAAATTTATAACTTCGTACTCCAAGGTACTATTCCCGGAGTACATATCATGCCTTATCAAAGATAACAGTGAATTCACAATATCATTATTGCACTACGTTATTATCATCGTCAAGAAATTAAATTTTCATTAATCATTTCCTTTGTTTGCACAGTTATTTATTGTGTTTCTGAAATTTTTTAGGGAAAAGCTATTGCTTAAATTTTTCAAATATACGATGTGTTTTATTTCTTCCTTCGGAGCTGCTGTATTGCTAACAGTGAAATTACAATTACTTTTTTGTTGTGTGTTATCGATAAAGTTATGTGAAAAACTTAGTCCTGTACGCTATGCAGCAGTGATCATATGTAACTCACATGCGGCACATTTCTGATACGCGGTTAGGGAGAGATTGGATGAAGAAGGATTATGGGATGAGACGAGTGCATCAAAGTATTACTGACAAAAAAAAGAATCGAAGTTTATGATACTTCATTGTGTCGCCACTTTTGAGGACTGTTAGCAATTCCTGTTCCTTTTGCAATAATCAATGCCCTTTTAATGGTTCGTTTGAACTATCAAAGCATTATTAATTTGCTCAGTATTTATTTTTAAACAAGAAAGAATGAACAAATGTGTAAATATAATATGAACACATAAAACAAACTATTTGAAGAGGATTTTTTCCTCCTCAAAGTTTCCAATTAATCGACAACAAAAAACAAAGAAGCGTAGTATACGGTTCCTTTTTTCAACAAAATATTAACGATAACAGTGAATAAGTGTGTATGTGCAACATTATATACCTTAAAAAGGTGGCGGTCCATTTAAGAATTCTAACGACGGGTCGAAGCTTCGCGCAAAATTATTGAGCAACTGGCAACAACTTTCATCATCACAATGTGGTACAAGACATGCTGCACCAAGAAGTAACACAAGCATAGCCTGCAAAAATCGTACGATAAGAGATGATAATACTAATCATGTAAGATGATTGAAATATCTTGATCGAATTATCTTGAAAACTAGTTTTCTGAGCTGAAAATTAGCTTTATATTTATAAGAACTTTTCGCTTCATAGCTATGAAAAACAAACCTGGAGAGGTAATGCAGTACGAAGGACACGTCTCCAACGAGAACGTTGTCGCTCATAATGCACATGTCCTGGGCCTGGATCATCAGGAATTGGTGAGAGTGCGACGACACCATGTGATGGATGCGCTTCAACGGCATCTTCTTCGCTTTCTTCTAACATTATCTGTAATTTATTCAGTAAGCACTTGTTTTAGAAAATGTAAGAATTCTGAGATTTTCCAAAGATGTAAGACTCCTGATCTAAATGTCTTGACCACTACTTAGTGCTATGAGTATCGGTGAAGATAAAACAAAGTTTAATTTTAATAAGCTCAAGCCTCAAGCCACTTTTTTGAAAAGAATATCTTGCATACCAGTTAAATCGTATATAGAATCCTGGAAGCTTAAACTAGACCCTAAAAAAGGATCATAATTCTGGCCGCTGAACCACTGCAAGTCATCTCTCGTGTCCTTATCAACAAATAATAAATTTCAGCCATAGAAATTTAAAAAACTGATTGTGATATATAGGCTGTTAATCGGACAAAGAAAATTCTATGAAACATAATACATACTTCATCATCAAGTGGAGTTTTGAATTTGTTCTTATCATCATCATCGCTGGTAGCAGAACTAGGATTATGATCATATGAATCATCATCAAATGGTATGCCCTGTTCACGCAGTACATCACGTGGATGGTCATCCGGATATATTGCTGCTAATACTTCCGCAGCAGCATCAATATCGTATTCTTCTTCAGTGTCCGTAAACTCCACTCGTTTTAGTTTTCCTTCAATTTCTTCTAATCGTTCAAAATTATGTCTGGTTGAAATTTCAGTTTCTTCGCTCAAAAAGATTCTGTTATCATTGTATTTGGCAATATCTTGATCCAATGTGCTCAAATGTGCACGAATACCTTCCAAATGTTGCTGCAATTCCTAAAATTGAAGTTTGCTTTCGTAAGAACAAAATAACTGTTCCGATAATAAGCAAATAATCTGAATAGATATCAAGATGTAATTAAATGGGATATTTTAGAAATCCATATGATACAAAATATATTTGACACTACACACATATGATAATGTTCATTACGCCACAAACATAAGATCGTCTAACAAATCTAATTGAGCTGTTTTCTTAGGGATTTATTCAATTTTATATTTGTTATTTTATTATTTTGAAAGAATCGTATTATTTCAAAAGCTTTTAAAATAACGTTTTTTTCACAGAAAAAACACCTTTTGTGAACAAGCTGTTATATTTTGAGCGTCGAGTACATTTCTGATATCGTCGAGTTCATCTGATATTACGAGTAATGAATGCACAATTTCCTCTCTTACTCTGAATTCGGCGGACATGGAATCCAACAAATTCTAAAACACAGAATATTTTCAAACCACTAATCAGCATTTCACAAGATAAATCGCCATTGAGACAATGAATTAAATGTTTCCTCTAATTTTATATTTCAAAGTTGTTTTTTTCCCAAGCTTGTCGATACGGAATTTTAATAAGATTTAATTCGATTCCTATGATTTTATACAAAGCCTAAAACTAAAAAATCAATAATCAAAAAGCATAACAAAAAAAAACCTCGAATTTTTTCTCAAGCTCACTTGCTTCCTCAGCATATGCTTTTCCCTCTCGTTGGGCACAAGTTAGTGGGTGAAGCTGTGAGCTCAAAGATAACAATCGTGATTGCAGATTTGCGAGGAACGACCATCTCAGATAGAGAACCTAAACAGTGCCATATATCAGTTCTCGAAAGCATAGGCTAACTACTGCTATGTGAAACAATAAATGAAAATTTTTTTGATGATTAAAGAAGAAACTGATTCAGACTAAAAGACTACAGTGAGGAAAGCAGTATAAAACAAGTATGACATTAACAATTTTTTC